TTTCCTTTCTATGTAAAACAAGTAGAAGTTGAGTAATCACTGCTACATGAAATTCATATTTACAATTAGATAATCCCTTGATGTGTTAGTGGACAGTTCTATTTTTGATGGATTGTTTCAGCCCAGAATCAACCTTTTCTGATTTGATGGATGCCAGATGTCTTGTCTTTGAGTTTTCAAAAAAATAAAATGGAATCAGCATTTTTTTAAAGTGTTTCAATATTTTGGCGTAATATTTCTGACATTTCAATCTTTCCTAACGCCTAAAATAGAGTATAATTTAAGTTTTACCATGGTCATTGACGCCATTGTGATTGTGACTAGTGTGTAACTAGTGAATTGATCATGCTGGACTTTGAATCATCCCATTGACTCTATCCTTGTACATAATGAGTACTCTATACATGTATCTGAGTTCCTCAGCTCACCAAAATCTTTCCCCAGGTTTCTTCCAGATTTGTTGAATTTCATTTGCTTGCTATTAATGATCATTGAGGCATGAAGAAGTTACTGACAAAGTTGTCCTTATTATTTATAGCTATACTGTGTTTTGTCTTGATTTCTTTTTTTTTTTGCATGTGCTGTGATGCAATGTTTCATTTTCTTGCAGTTACATCATTCTTACCATATGCAAGACATTTATTATGATATTCTTCACAATATTGTCAGACTGACTGCTGCACTCTAACTGGCTTCTTATATAAACTAGTATCATCGTGCTTTACTGCATGGACAGCTACTGGATTAATCTCTCTGGTTCTTTCTTTTGACAATTAAGACACCCAACATATTTGAATGCATTTCTCTAGACCTCGATCCACAGCCTTTCTCTCAGTTGAGAGTCATCGATTTGACAAATCAGTCTCTAATAAAGAAATAGTTTGCGTTTTTTCTCTTCTTCTTGTTACGTTCATACTAGCTCAGCTAGTGTTAATTCTTCATGCCATTCATATCAAGTTAATCAGGTGCTCTGGCTTTAGTAAATACTTGGAGATTTGCTTTTCTTCACACTTTTCTGTTTCTTGAGTACTTTTACTCTTACTCTTGAACAAACTTGCGTATGTAATTAATTATGTGGTAGAAAATTAAATAACTCGCTGGTGTGATGTGTAAAATTGATCACTCGCTCATAGCTTTGGTTGACTGATTTAACTAAATGTAGTCGTTTCTTTGGTCACTTGATCACACAATGTAATTCTGACAACATGTTTCAATGTTTTCTTTGTACTTTAATTAAAACATCAGAGTTTCTATAATTGCGAGCGTATTCTGACTCTACACTTTAAAACTCAACGGCAATGACAACAACAACAACAAAGACGACGACGACGACGGTGACAACGACAACACCAACACCAACATGCACATGCTACTAATACATAGTTATTATATCAGGTTATAGTCCAATTACAAAACAACATTTGTTACAGTTGTTATTGAAATTGAAAATAAAAGTTGACTTACTTTTCTTCATCACTTTCATCAGCACTATCATCACTACTATCAATAGTTCTTTTTCTGGATACAGTGTCTTCATCTCCATCAACCTGATTTGTATCATCTTCATCTTTGTTCAGTTGTACATCCGTAGATTTGGACTCTTCATCTTAAATGAGAAGAATGAATTGTTTATTATGCATCATCTGATATCACTTCTTTGTCTTAGCCTTGAGGGCCATATATCATTCTTTTGTACTTTAATTGCTATGAAAGCTGATCTGATCATTTCTTCTACTGTGATAAGTTAATTTCTGTACTATTGTACATGTATGTGTGTAATTGTACTTTGTCCCATGTACTTTGTTATATGTCCATTGTACTTGATTAATGGATGGATGCTTCTTATTTCAACACATTGATATTTATTAGACACATTACTACTTTGCACAGGTAAACTCTCCATGACACTTGTTTATAAAAGTTTGACTCATATACATTGTGAATGGCAATGCACAATAACTGAACTCAATTTGGACATTTTTCAACTCAATTCAACTAAGATTTGAACATAAATTTGTATTCCAAACCCCTAATCTAAAACAGCAGCATGCTCACTGATAATAAACACCTAAGCCTTCTCCAGAGGGTAACCACTAATACTAATTAGTCATCAAATTTACCTTGCATATGTTCAGATTCTTCCTCAATCTGTAAAGAATTGTCTCTACTGGCACTACCTTCCTCAGACTGTTCATCATTCTCTTCTGTCTTTTTCCCTAGACTACTTTCATCTCCATCTTCTATATCAGCAGCAACTTGATCTTCACTCTTCTCATCCTTTTCCTCTTCCTGTCTCTCTTCATCACCACTCTCTTGTTCAATTCTTACTTCTTCCTCTTCACTAACACCTTGCTCAACTGATACTGACTCTTCCTCATCAGGTTCTTGATCTTCAGCATCTTCTCCCATTTCTACATCATTCGCACCCCTTTCCTCTTCATCTTCTTGCTGCTGCTGTTCAATCTCCTCTTCATTATCCTCTTGTATCCCCTCAGCATATTGATGCTCATCACCTTCTTCAACTGTCTCCTCAACCTGTGCACTCTCTTCATTGTCACTTTCTTGCTCATTTTCATCTTCTTCAGATCCACTTGCTGCATCACCAATTTCTACATTTTCATCATCACCATGGTCACTACCTGCTACTTCCTGCTCATCACTTTGCTCTTCATCAACTGCTTCTTCATGTTCTTCTTCACTCACAACCTCGCCCTCTTCACCTTCATTACCACTCCCTTCCTCTTGTTCATATTCAATGTCGTCATCTTCTTGACCCTCAACCTCTTCACCACTGCCATCCTCTTCCTCACCACCTTCTTCTATCTCACCCTCCTGTTCTACATCACTACCCATCTCTTCCTCTTCCTGTTCTTCCCCTTCTTCCACACCCACCTCTTCTTCCTCACCATCCTCCTCTCCCTCTTGTTCTTCATCATCACTAGCCACCTCATGTTCTTCCATACCATCCCCTTCCACACCATCTTCCTCACCAACGTCTTCCCCCTCTTCCTGTTCTTCATTTTCGTGCTCCTCAGCTTCTTCTTGAAATTCACCCTCACTCACTCTCTCATCATCACTGTCTTTTTGTTCTTCATCATTGCTCTCTTCATCATTTGCTTCTTTATCTGATTCCTCATCAGAGTCCGACCGATATTCTCCTTCCTAGTAAACAAAAAAAAATGCTAAGAATAAAACTAAGAGTAGGAAGTGTGTTCATGCATATTTACAAACAGTTTGTGGCATATAAGAGCTGTCAGAAACCAATACAGTTTCTCATTAACCATGTTTACACCAGAAACCTAAATAAGGCCAACAAAACTTATCAACTGGTGCATATTAGAAACCTGTGCTTAACACAGTTTTGCAGATCAAACATTATATATACATGTATAATTATATATATTTTCTTGATATGCATTGAAAAATATAATCACAAGACTAAAAAAACACTGCATCACCACATCATTTTTCAATTCTTTATATGTACCTCAAGATCTTCATTTCCTTGTTCCTCCCCTTCTTCTTCATATTCATCTTGTACTGGTGTACTCCCACCTGAAAAAGTAGAAATAGATGTAAACCAAAACACAGAAAACTGAGTTCAGTAGATTCATGTTCATGAAAAATAAAAAATTAAAAAGCATCTAGAACCAAGCATCAAGAAACTGCCACCACACTGGCCATGTTTTCACTGTCTTAAGCATTTGTTAAAAACAAAATTTCCATCAGTCAACAATTGTTTCAACAATCTGTTGAAAAAAAAATGATTTGCATCAAGGACCCATTATGTTTAAAATGCACACACAGAGGTGAACTTATATTGTATAAGAGTTTGTTCTACGTCAGAACAGAGACTAACAAGTCATTGTCAATGACACGTCCCCGTTCTGTTCATATTTGAGTGACATAGACATTCAAAGCAGATCATGATCGAAATCTCAGACCACTTTCAGTGGTCTGATCCGAAATGCACCTGCATATGTACAACACATTGTATGTGTGTGAAGTGTGGTCTTGATCGGTTCAGGCATGCCTGAGATATGGATGCTGAACTGTATTCAGTTAAAACCCGATTTGGAAAACAAAACAACGTGATACAAGGTACCATAATGTACAATGTATGCATGAAGTGTGAACTAAATTCACCCATGGTGAATATGTGCAATTTTGACGAATTTTTGACCTTTGATGGATGTTATACACCCATCTTAAATCAGATCTTGACCCACCCAACATGTATGATGTATGTATGACGCCTGAGAAATGGATCCGGAACTATATTTAGTAAAACAAAATAATACAACATTCGTTAAAAGTCAAAATTTCATCTGAAAAACTTGACGAAGATCTGCAAAATAAATGATGTGCTGCAAGGTCCAATTATGTATACCATGATGTATGATGTGTGTGTGAAGTTTGAACTTGATCAGCTTATACGCAACAATATGGATGTTGAATTGCATGCAGTAAAACAAAATAGCCACCAGTCAGCCATTTTCAACACAATCCTAAAAAAAAATTTAGACTAAATTTGCCTACGCATGACTAAAATTCAGTTCCGGTATGGTGAAAATGTGCAATTTTGGTGAATTTTTGACCTTAAAAGGACTGGCCTAAATGCACAGGCATATGTATGATATAATGTATGATGTGTAGGTGAAGTTTGAACTTGATCTGTCCAGGCATGTCCGAGATATGGATCGAAAACTAAATTCTTTAAAACAAAATGGCCGCCAGTCGGCCATTTTGAACTTGATCCGAATAAAAATTGGTGTGCAT